TTTGACCGAAATTCCTTTCTCAACTGTACGTACAATAGTCAAAAACAAACCTTATGAACGCAAGATGCGATGTGATACAGGATTACCAAAATCTTCAGATGTTCATCTAATAAAATCATTGAAAAAAACAATATACGACTGTTACAAAAGCAATGAGATTCCTACAACTGAAATCATAAGGAAGAAATTGAATACTTCTGGCCATAACGTGAGCTGATGTGACAAATCTCTTCAGAATTGGATACAAAAACTGGGATTTACATTTAAAATAATGAATAAACGTCAAGCAGTTATGGAAAGCAAAAGAAAAGTGGAATTGCGTAACAAATACTTAGAACAAATAACTAAATATAGACAACAACAACGGCAAGTTTTCTATTTGGACGAAACTTGGTATGATACTCACGACACAGCTACGAAAGGGTGGACTGATGGTTCGAGAATGTGTACGCCTAACATGTCTGCAAACAAAGGATTGCGCCTAATCATTGTGCATTGCGGAGGAAGTGAAGGATAGGTTCAGAATTCTTCGAAATTATGTGGAACAAAACTTGAAAACTGCAATGTTGACTATCATAAGAACATGGAAGCTAGTATTTTCGAGGAATGGTTTGAAAACACGTTGATCCCAAATTTGGGGGACAATAGGGTAATAGTTCTTGACAACGCATCCTCATTTGCAACAGCTCATCAAAGTACCGATTAGAAATTCGAGGAAAGATGATATACAAAGTTTTTTAATGGATGTCAATTTGTATTTTGAAGATTACTATACCAGAAACCAACTACTTGAAGTTTTACCGTGTATGAGAGTATTGCCCCTATTTTTGTGTTTTCAATCCCATCGAGTTGCTTTATGGAAATCATCAGGCGTGAAAATAATTTTCCAAAATTTGATAAGAAGGTAATAGAGCTAATTAAAGAAGAAATATATAATATTACCGAAGAAGACAGGCAGAAAAGGATTAAAAAAGTAATTTTAGTTGAAAAAGACATTATCATATTTCAGTAGGTACGTGTAAATTTTGCTAAGACTATCAATATCAGTTCGTTTATTCATTGAATGTTCTTCGTTATTAATATGTATCATTTAATTATTAATATGTATTTAATATGTATCAATTAAATCGATTTATAGTTAATCCAGTCACTAATTATTCTGTTTCAGCTCCCTAAATATATTATTGAAGGGGAGCTGTTGGTTACACTATATCGTTTACTTGAACTATACCTATACTATATACTCCGATTTCACATCAGAAACAAACTAGTGAAGTTCATGGCAGAGCTTTCGTACTACGGTAACCGGTCGGTGGATACATTGATCAGAGAAGTTTCATTAATTACTCGAACAGATTTGGATACTCTAATTGGGGGTCGAAACAAACATAGAAAGATACAATTCTAAGAAACAAATAATAGAAGAACAAGTGATTGAAAGGAAAAATGGACGAACAGGCATTTGCGTCGAAGCTATTTACCGGGTTTGCTGGCAGTGGTCTGCAGAGGTCTGACGTTTCATCCACTACAGCGGTGGATATTATCTTCTTAAGGCAGAATTAGCTCCCAATCATTCACATTCATATTCGCCAAAAAGATCAAAATAATTTTTTTTCTTCAACGAGCTGTCGCCTCCAAAAAAATGGCATCCCTCTGAAATATTTTGGAGAATGGTTCAAGAAAGACACTTTTATAATTTTCAATGTCAAAAATCGAAAAAAAAACTATTAAGCTATTTTTCATAAACCTGGCCACCACACTCGACCCATATAGTTTCGAAATGGATTGTGTCAGAGTTACATCAAAATGAGTTCATAATTGAAAAAGTGATGAAAAAATGAAATTTGAGAAATCTGCCAGTCAATTGTCCCAAGAATTCAATTTTACAACTTTCATCAGAATTCGAAATGGATTGTGTCAGAGTTACATCAAAATGAGTTCACAATTGAAAAAATGATGAAGAAATGAAATTTGAAAAATCTGCCAGTCAATTGTCCCAACAATTCAATTTCAGAACTTTCATCAGAATTGTGATTATTCCACTGAACAGGTTTTGGTTCGTCAATGTCCTGAATCTCATCGAAATCTGTACATCACTGAAAAATTGCAGGACAAAATCATACAATGAGTACTAGGTATATCGGTTTATATCTTACCGACTGCGCCAGGTAATGCTATCAACTTCAGACCACCTTCAGAAAGTTGATTATTATTATCATGATGGATACAACTCAACCCTAATACAGAATGTTATATAATTTCTTTCTTCTAAAGGACCACCAAACTAAATCACGATAATTCAACACCACATTCGAATGAATAAATCATACTACAAATGGAAACTTCAATATTTCAATTGTTTTCTAATGATACGACCAGAACGACTAGTATATGGGTTCGTATCCTACCGTCTGCGCCACGTTATTTCATCAACTTCGTATCACATTCAAATAGTTATTCATCATCATCATCATAAATACCACTCAACTATTTAATACAAGTTATTCGAGTTTCAAAAACAGAGCGTTAGAGGATCAGGAACTCTTTTCAAAGAGATATCTTGGACCGATGATTGCTTGTTGTGACCCCGTGTGAAGAAAATATTTGAAAATTGCTTCCGTTTGTTGACTTTTTACGGCAATGGACATCTCTTAGTGTATAAATCTGCCAATTTCGACTCAGAAGAATAGAATGGACGGTAGAGAATTTTGTGTCGTGTTTCCACAACAGATCTCCAAATATAAAGTTCACGTATGAAAATGATAAAGGACATAGTGTATAAGTTTTAAGTCTTGTCAGAAAGAAAGACTTTCTTTCATATAAAGCAATATACAGCAACGGATTAGAAAACCGGGTTACGATGAAAAGTATGTTGGTCAAACTATGTAGATTATAGCAGATCGCTATAAGTTGCACATTTCACATATTCGGAAGAAAAATACTTGAAATTGTTGGAATCGGTACATGACAATAGGTTTTTAAATTGATAATAATAATCTTTATTTCGACTGTGCATCCTAATATACAAAAATCAGACTACAAACAGCTCGTTTTTGCACATTCAAATGAAAATAACGGAAAGGAACTAGGTAAATATTAAGTATTGTAAAAATCAGTAATCAATATATAAATGAGAAATGAAATACAATAACAAAGCAATCCAATAAATAATACTGAAAGTTCTGAGTTAGTTTTGGAACTCCATACATTCAGAGCGGCTTTTCAGTGAGAAATTAATCACCTTATCACATTGTCTTTCGATTCGTCACTGGAAGCCCTGAGAATAAAGTGCAGATTTAAACTGTCTGAAGGAATAAAGTCTTTCAAAGGAGACTTCACCCATGGCTTCGGCTTGAATTTGTATCTTCTCCATTTAGATTGCTCGATTTTTTATAATATGCATTCATTGTTTTCAACAATACAGGTATCGATGTAGTTCCATTCAAGAAACGAACAAAGGGGATATTTTAGAAAATTTAATTATGCAAACTCTCCATAAAAATTGTGAAACTCTTCATTTCTTTGTGCTTGATGCCACAATAAATTATTGTTCTTATCGATTCTTATATTGTTTCATGACTCGAGGTAATAAAGGGTAACGAAGAATTAAATACAGAAGCTCAAAATATGCAACAGAAAGGATGATTTTCTCTACATCACACCAATTTTCTTTTTCATTATCCCAGGACAATTGAATTAAGCTGGTTTATTGTTCCTTCGAGATGAAAGAAAATTGTGGAAATTTCATTCACATGTGCAGTCTACAGAGCGATTTATTTTCAAATTGCAGCTGCTCTCAGCGGAATCATTTTTCTCGGACTTCAGAAAATTTAAACCCAAAATAAAAAACGTGAACTTTCTTTATGGACAAGCAGATGTGAAACTATGTCTCAACTGGCCTGCCCTCAATTCTAATACATTTTTCAATTCTTTTTCTTTCGATTTCGTGACCTGGACTTGTAAATAATATTCTTGGTAGTTCTCCAGAAGTAAAAAACTAATTTATCTTTTGTAATTGTGGAACCTAATGATGTAGAAATGCCCGGTTGGTTATTCGAAGGTACACACGTAGAATTACAGCACATATGCACAAAGTCATCTTTTGGTGGCTGATGATCTTTTTCAAGACAGTGAAATACTCGCAGTACAATTTGTTTTTCTCTTACTGACCGAGTCTCCGTCGATTGCTGACTAACTTAACTGTAAAACGTACAATTCACGCTGTATAATTCACAAACCAATGATACGCTCATGGCTGCAAGTACATTAGTGAGGACTGCAACGATGAGATGGAAGTTACGGTATACACTATACAGAAAATAATGAATTTTAACTGATCAGTAATCAGGAAATATATAAGTATTACTCATTACAAGCTCATTACTGATTTTTGTCATTAATAATACCTTTTAATAGTACTAGTATTGTGTATTATCTATAATTTGACACAACCTACAACTCTACTGCTTACTATATTTTGATTCTGCTATAAACTGGTAACGTAAAATTTAGATATGACAACGCGCTCTACTCTCAATCATTATTGGTTTTACTATAGACACAAATTTTTCACAAATTCATAACTACCACTTACGACTCACTCACACTGTAATAATATTCCATGCCTCAATTTGGCTCGCTTGGTAAAAGCCTCAGCTTCAGTCAGTTGCCCTTTAGTTCATCCGCGCATAAAATTCGAAGTGGGGAATCTCGACCCAATTATGGCGCAGAGTGAACTTACTTGTGTTTACTTTTCTACGGTGATCAGGGCAAGTAACTTTTTGATTTTGAGATGTTACGTAACTCGTTCGATTGAATATAAATCCTGTTATTTCAATAAAACTCCTATACAGTTTCACTTTGTTCATTTCTAATGTTTAGACCTTGAGATACATCCACAAAGTATCACGTTACTATTATTATCATCACTCTCCAATCATCTACCTCCATGTTGTTTCCGGACAAAGATTCACAACGTTCAATTTTTCATTATTTTCCAGGTACCAAATGCTGTTCCTCCTCACAACGTACATAGTCCCTATCCTCCTGATGACACTGTCCTACGCAGTGATGGGAACTGTTCTCTGGGGATCCAGATCCATCGGCGAAAAAACGCAAAGACAAGTAGACTCGATAAAGTCGAAGCGAAAGGTGAGTTTCAACTGATTTCCATAAAGAATGAAAACGAACTGATTTATTCTGATTCGGTTTTGATTTTGACAGTAATTCTACTCGAATACTTGGAATTGGCTGTATTCTCCCTGGTTTTCTTGAGTTGTTATCTAGGGTGACACAAGGCTCAATATTGGGGCTACTGTTATATTCCGTATACAGGCAACTATCGGTTTTTCGATATGCTTTATCAAATTAACCTAGCTCACAACTACATTTCGATGTAACATGTTTTAGGATCAGAAAAAATGTTGAGCTGTATTTTTAGACCTGGCAAAGGTGTTTGTTACCGTCGAACATACAATACTCTTTCAGAGATTGGAGGACATGGAAGTAAGAGGCATTGCATTAAATTTATTCAAAGATTATTTATCATACAGAATACAGAGAGTAAAAATAAACGAGTCCTTTAGCGATTCACTGCCTGTTACCAGGGGTGTACCGCAGGGAACTGTCATGGGCCCCATAATATTTTTAATGTATGTCAATAATATTTTTAAAATTAAAAATTCCGAAGGGCATTTAACGTCTCACGCTGATGATACGGCTGTAGCATTCGTAGGTGAAACATGGAACGAAATTTATGAAAAAGCAGGAATGGGCATAAAACAAATTCACTCTTGGCTAAGTACTAACTGACTGAGCCTCAAGCTAAACAAAACAAAATTCATAACTTTCTCCTCCACAAAAAAAAGGTCAACCAAAACAAAACAAACAACATAACATCTCTTCTTAGAAGAGATGTTATGTTGCTGGTTTATAACGCCTTGGCTGAGTCAATCATACGCTATTGTATCATTGTTTGGGGGGGATTATACAAGACTTCCTTACAAAATTTAGATATAATTCAAAACACTTTAATTAAAATTATGAAAATTAGAAAAACTCGAAGATATTCAACCGAGTCCTTATATGAAGAAATTGGTCTATTTAAAATAAGGAAATGATATGTTTATGAATGCTTACTATGGACAATGAGTAACATAATTTATCACACGCAGAATACAAGAATGATGGCAAGCCAAGCTATAAATATGCCACGTTGCAGATTGACTCACAACCAGAAATTCGTCACTTACCTTGGTCGTAAACTATACAAAATCAGCTACCTACACATATATAAAATATCAAGAGCCACAAAAAACTCAGAAAAGAAATGAAACCATCCATTAAAAATCATTATAATCAACTGAAAGATATCTTTAAGAACGAATTAGAAACCTCTATCGGTGTATACTCTACATACATATGTCCTATTCAAACTGTTTTCCAAAACTAAGTTACATTTTCAGCTATAATATCCCAAGGACATTGATAACTAACGAAATAATTCTATCACAGTTTTCGAAAGCACGTTATTTGGTAACATCCCGACGCCGAAGGCGGAGGGATGTTACCTAAAATAACGTGCTTGAGGAAAATGTCATGACATAAGTGATAACTACCCGTGAAAACTATCCATGGGTAGTTATCAGTGTAATGATGGTTTCATTGGTTATTTCAACACACATGACTAGAAATAGACAAATTTGATAGGATAATTTTTTTGGCAAAAATTTTCAGTTAGATAGCATTAGTAAACTGGTATATACCTATATCTTTTATGTTAAAATTTAGCAGCCTGAGGGGCACAATACAAGCTTAGCTTAGGTGACCTCACACTGCTAGGAATAGAATATTCTACATCTTTTACTTAATATGTATTTATGTTAACTTTGTAATACTGATATCGACCTGGATAAAAATCTATCTATCTATCCATCTATGTAATACCCAGTTGCAGGAGTCGCCATATAATCGTAGGAGAACTAATGAAAGTTACGGATACCTAAGAAAATTTGTATTGTAGCGGGCAAACAAAATAGTAATTCTAATCATATATAACCAGACATACTAATTTGGCACGATGGATAAAGGAAGAGATAGAAAGAAGAAGAGAGTGAAAATACAAGTGATTGTATAATTCATAGTGAAAATCATACAATAAACTATATTAACGAGTTTTTATGTTCAGGACAATTAAATTTTTGGAAAGAAAGGTTTTCGCTTTCTAATTCTCCATCTTTGTACAAAAAAATGTGGGTATCATCCTAAGAATGAAAGAAAGCAATTAGTTTCAAAATGAACTTTATACAAAGATGTGTAGTGCAAGGAAGTAACTTTCAGCCACAAACTGGAAGGAAAGACCCCCAAAAACAACTACTTTCATATAAACATTGAATTACACTGAAGAAAAAAACTTTCAAAACAGCTTCACCTTTACAAAAAAAAACCTTTTTACAATTCCAATACTATAAGCATTCGTTATGAAATACATACTGTTGTATAAAAGGTATTGTAGAATATTTTGATGTACCAATAGCCGATGAAGCTACCATATAGCGAAACGAGTTTCAGATAAAATTCATTGTGAAAATTATACAATTATTATCATGGATAGTGTCACGTCGATGAAAAAAACAGCCAATTTACCATACCATTTTCTATGCGCCACAGTAGAAATCGATAGTTCATTACATCAGCTAAATTAATCTAACCATATATTCGGGAATTTTCCGATAGCTGCTCAGAGTAATACATTGAATGCATGCAATGGAGGCACTGAATTGACGTTCCAGATTCTCTGTCAACAAAATACGCAGAAGAATTTGTGATTCGATTACTAAAGTTCGGAAATTTACGCTGCAGACGTGAGGGACAGTATTAAAGTTGTAAGATGGTTACCTAGTTTTTTTACTTCATACATAATAGACCTTTCTTCATATATTCTGTAGGCATAGAGATCAAGGGTGATTGATAATGAATGCAATTTCATTTGTTTTCGAAATATATAATTATATCCAGGATTAATTCAAGCACTCCAAGATTTTGGTAACAATTCGCCACAACAACTTCAAAGAATTATTTGAAAACATATATTATGTTTAAGTATTCAAAGTACTTCAAGACATTATTTTGTAAAAGTCATGTCACAAAACATAATGAGAGTTCAAAATACAATACAGTTCATCTTCTCATAAATTGTTCCAAAAAAGTCATAATGAGACAAAAATATTGGCTAAGACCTCCGAAGTTAGTGGAGATGGTGATACGGAATTTCGGTAATAACATATATGTATGCAAGAATATACTTCCTAACGCATTTACAACTTATTCATCCTCACAGCAGCGGCACGAGGGGCTGCAAATCGAAATCTCAACTAGAACCCTATATCGATATGTATCTCAAAGGTTATGTAACACCTGAGCTGACAAGTCCCGGGCCTAAGAAAGAAAACGCGTTTTATTCGTTCAAAATTGCCTTCATTCGTCAACATAATCTTTATCGCCATCTAAGTGTTGATCCCGAGACTTGCCAGCCCATGTAGTAGAAAAAAACATTCCTGCACAAACTAGAGGTGATAAGAAAGATATCCGCTCCTCTACATAACCCCATGAAAAAATGCCAAGAAGAATGATGTCCGGGAACCTTGTTGGGTGGCCATTTAATATACCCTCTACGACCCAATCTAATGACCAGAAAATTCCTCTCCTAGTTATTCTCTTGCAGAAACATAAATCCTATGTCCTCTCTATTATAGCTTCTTCTAACAGTACAAGTACAAGCGTCCTGTAAGATTTCAGTCGATATAAAAAAACAAATGACCGTATTTCTTGGGGTTTTTTATATGGGCTTCTTCAATCTATCGAGGAGTATGATCATTCCTCAGAACCATTTTAAAAAAGCTTGCTTGATCACTGAAATATGTCCGATAGAGAGAGTTGGTTTGTGGGGCAATTAAATGTTCCATAGTTTCACCAAACTGCCGTCCTCAATCTGGGTCATCTTCATTTAGGTTAGGTTAGGTTAGGTTAGGTTAGGTTAGGTTGCGATTGAGGTCTTGGCAAAGACGGATTTCAAAAGGATGAAATGTACGCTGTTTTGCAACTTCATACACTGTTGATTTGTCTGTACCTACAGCAGCAGCTGTTGTGTGAGTTGATTGCTTGAGTTGAAGCTGATTGCTTGAGTTTGAAGCTCCTGGGTTTTAACGGACATACGACCAGAACTTGGAACGCCTTTTTCGCTGAAAGTTGTAGTGAATTTTTGCATAACACTTTCCACGCATGTTAGCTTTGAGGACTGCTGCGAATTGAGAAAACACCAGAAGAAAAAGTCTAACAGAATCAGATCGCACGATCTCGTTTACCAGTTCACATCACCTCCACGTGAGATGACCAAGCCCTCAAATCCCTCGTGCAGAATATCCGATGTAGCATGAGCTGTGTGTGCCGTTCTGTTGAAACCACATGTCGTTGGTGTCCAGATCACCCAATTCAGGCCAAAATAAATTGGTAATCATCGACCTATAGTGCTCACCGTTGATAGTGATGGCCTGGTCAACGTCGTTCTCAAAGAAATATGGACCGATGACGCCACCAGCCCAAAATCCACACCAAACAGTGACTTTTTGGGATACATTGGAAGCTCTTGGATCTCATGTGTATTGGTATCGTCCCTAACTCGACAATTTTGTTTGTTCACGTCAGTTGTCAATTGCTCCAGATCCCATTCAGCTGTAACCTTCATGATGAGTTTGACTCTGTATTAAAAGGAATATTTATTTCCCAAACTAAGCCGCCATTGTAGCAATGCTAAGCTTATAACGAGGAAAACAAAAAAATACCTTGATCTTTATATTTATCAGTTTTGATAGGGTAAACTATAGCCAAAACTTAAAATTAGAGCAGCCGCTGTCACCATTTGAAATTTTATAAATGGAGAATGATACTTACTAGAGAACTATCTTAGATGTTGCCTGCAGAAGTGATCACCTTCCAGAGGTTTGGCTTAGCTTCTCCTTATCAAATAGGCACTGTTTTAGAATAGAAAACTTTTTCACTTAAGTCCTTCCAGGCGCTTTGTCGGGATATACCATTGATATATGAACTTTTCCTAGGGAGAGATATGAATATACTCTACGTTCCTCTTTTTTCCC